CTGTAATGCATGGTCTACAATGGCAGTAGCAGTAGTGGATGAGACTGTAAGAGTAACAAATTGACCAATTACAGTTGAATGTAAGAAGAATAATCGACTGTAATTAGTCAATTTCTTACTCTTACAGCCTCATTCATTACTGATACTGCCATTGTAGACCACGCATAAGACACGTCGGGAGTAAACTGATTTTCCGGTATGTAGGACATAGAGAGTAAGTCCGTAAGCAATGAGAGAGTAGAACGTAGGAAATAGATTTCAACCATTCACTTACTGACTTACTTTACGCCCTGTGGAGCATGCGACGCGAACAAACCTACAATAAAAAGCACAGGCAATAGTAACAGGAATTAACAAATTTCAACCTATCAGAAGCTATGTATACTAGAATGAACGCTTTCTGATAGGTTGAAATCTCTTATTCTCTGTTCCTATTGCCTGTACTTTTCATTGTGTTTCCGGCTTTATACTGGAAAACCAGCGTATTCCCGATGTGTCTTACAGCCTTACCATCACTCTTACTACTCATTGCAGAATGGGCTTAATGCGTTTTTCTTATTATGGTTTACGAGCAGAATGAGCTTTTCGCCTATTTTTCTAGATCGGAATAAACATAAGCGAAAAGAGAGGAACAGGGAAATGCGTTAATAACGACCAATATTGATGCAGCAAAAATAACTGAACTCAATAAAATGTCCGTTTGCATCGGCATAATAGCTAAACACGTGTTAGGATATATCCACACAAACTTGCATAGTTGCATAAACGTATGCATAAAGAAAATGATCCAATTACATTTTACGTGCGACTTTATAAGAGAAATGCGATTAGATAATTTTCTTTATGCATACGTTTATGCGGCTATGCAAGTTGTGTGGATATATGTTTAAACGTATATTTTCGTCAGCAAAATAAAGTTAAATATTTCACCAACCAACGTTAGCAACAGTAATTGCATTTTATTGCGCTATAAACGCAATTTTGTAATACGTCACGTTCATTATAATTAATTTTTTTTACTTCATATTAATTTTTCTAAAGTAACAGTACCACGAGTGAAACAATATAACCTCCAAAAGCATGTCACTTTTATAATGGAAAGAAAGATTGGCTGCTGCAACAATTTAAATGGTAAAATATGGCATAACATTTTTATTGGCTGCAACAGCTAATAAAACATACAATGCAATATTTAGCCATCTTTCTTTTAGTGTATGGTTGAAGAAACGATTGGCACATTATCGCTAATTGGTTCTCATTAATTCATTCCGATCGAAATCGACATTTCAACAGCTCGAAAGGTGTTGGAAATTTTCCAATCGATTTGGAAACAATCCGACTGTCCATAATAATCCATCTAATAGTGGTACACTGAAAGAAAAGATGAGCTGCTGAAACCATTCGGAATCGGACATCAAGCGACGCGGTAGCGTCGCGACGCCAAGTGCATAAAAATATAAAACAAGCCACTTGATCGCTTGATGTGTGAACGTCATTACGTACACTGAAAAAAAAGATTGGTTGCTGCAGTAAATTAGATGGTAAAATATGGCATAGTATTTTTAATTGCAGCAGCCAATTTTTAGTTGCATCGGCCAATTTTTGGTTGCGTTAGCCTACCCGCAATGTCAGTATAAGATTTCGATAGGCCAACACAACCAACAATTGGCTGATGCAACCAAAAATTGACTGCTGCAACCAATTAAAAATGCTATGCCATATTTTACCATCTAATTTACTGCAGCAGTCAATCTTTTTTTTCAATATATGCAATGACGTTCACACATCAAACGATCAAGCAGCCCGTTTTATATTTTTATGCACTTGGCGTCGCGACGCTACCGCGTCGCTTGATGTCTGATTCCGAACGGTTTCAGAGTTAGCTCGGATAATAGGTTTTTAATCTACAATAGGTTTTTAAGCCTTAAGCGATAAGAAATGGACGAATCATAGTCGATTAGGCTAGGTCCACAACCTTGCTCTAAGAGGCCATAAGCCTTAAGCTTTAAGTTGTAAGCAACGATATATTGGCCATAGAACTTATGCTTTTAGGCCATAAGAATTTGGTTTTGCTCAATTCGTTTAAGTCTAACGGTTAAAGCCTAAAGATTGCGCAAAGACAGTTTAAAGACAGAAATCATTATCATTTAATCTCTTTCGACTTAAGGCTTCTTGAAGCAAGATTGTATTCTCCTCGTATTCGACGATAATTGTCAATTTCTTATGGCTTAATGCTTAAATCACCTATTGTAGGTCAGGATTTACGAGATATTGAACTAAGAAAACATGAATCGTAATAAATGTTGTTTAATGTTCGTTATTTTATTTGATGCTTTACAAAAGATATTAAAAAGTTCTTCCGTCGACTTCGACACACTTTCTAGCACGAATTAATAAATTGTTTCCAACTTGATGACAAATATTTGGAGTTTCGTGGATGATATCATCAGCGTTATCAGTTGCATAATTGTTCTGCATTCTGAATCTCATTCTGCTAGACTAGATCTTTGATTCGTTCCCAAAGAAAAAAATCCAGTGGTGTGAGGTCAAGACTTCTTACTGATCATTTAATATAAGAAGCGTCCTGGTCTCTTCCAATCCAATGAGGGTAGTGATCGTGGAAAAATGTTCGCATAGGAAGTGTAAAGTGAAGTGGTGCCCCGTCATTCCTAACATATATTTGTTTACATTTCATGGACAAACGAAAGATCTAGGGCGGTATTCATAGTCCGTTCTTATTTCAAAACTGTATTATGTAAAGTCTTAAGATGCTAATACGGCTCTTTGATTGGTTTGTGACTTCTTAAAACTGTACTTAAGACGGTCTCGAATATAAGATCTGACTATGAATACCGACTTTAGTCTATCAGAAAAAGATTCAGGATTCAGAACAACAGAAAAACGAACATTAAACAATATTTACTACGATTCATGTCTTCTTACTTCAATATCCCGTAACTCCGAAATCGTTCGGAATCAAACATATGTTTATTAGACTTGTTTTCATATACTGAAGCTGCTGTAGCAGTTTTGGCACTGTATGCAGAAACACCCTGTATATTTGTGCACGAAAAATTTTTTACCGGAACATTATAATGGTTTTTTTATTTAGTTAAATAATAACACTCCTATTGCGCTTCATGTCACGAATGTAACGCAGCAGCGTTGCAGTACCATGTAGTTCTCAAATAATCGTAAGGAAATATTTAAATACAATAATTAAATTTTTAAGAGAGGTAGTGCGATTTTTAGGGACTGGTGCGATTTCAGCAATTTTACCCTACATTCAAAATTAATAGATATTATCATGTTAACACATGAGATAAACTATTGCTACTCTATTTATCAATAAAGTGAAAAGGATGCAAAATTAAAAAAAAAGTTTTAATAAAATTGTGTAAAATTGATATCAATTCCGCTAAATAAAGCTATAAAATAAGAAAATATGAATCCTATCCAATTATTTTTATAGATTATATAAAATTCGTGCGATTTTTCCAATTATGTATCGACTGTAAAATAAATATTCAATGGGTAAATTAACAATTGTATAAATATCTATTTCGTACGATTAAAATTTTACTATGATATAAAATATCAAAAATTTATTTCGTTTGTGATGTACATACATCAAACCTATACATCATAAAATGATTTTTTTGTATATTATTATCAAGTATATTAGATTTTTCTATATACTATATATTACATATATTATATTCTATATATTATCTATATATATGTCGTACACATACATATAGCGAATGCAATTGGATTCTCTAATGTATATTAAAACCGTTAAATCTGTGTAAAATACAAATATTTCGAATTATAAAATACAAATTTTACTTAACAGGATAAATAATAAAATGTATTGGGGATTTCATGGTTTAATTTATTTTTATATTAAACATATATTTATACGTTAATTTGTGTATGTACGACGGCTTTAATATGCACCAGTGCGCACTGCGTGCATTAAATCGAATTCGTTATTAATTTCACGTGACTGTCCAAATTGTGTAGCCTCGAGTTTCATTTCTCATTCTCATATGGCACATACTTTTATCTAGATTTTTTATATCAAAAAATACTTCGAAAGTCAAGTTATTTAAATGTATGTAAATACTTTAATATAGAACAAGAATCCGCAAAGAGCCGCGTAGCAAGAAACCATATATTGAACTCGATTAATGAACAATGATGATGATCAACTCTAGCAACAAATTAAAAAAATTAATGGTATTAAGAGAAACGTACACTGACCTGACGACGACGCCCGAACATGTACTCGGTAAGCAGATCGGCCTGAGGCCCAAGGGGCGATAAGTACGGGCCCGTCATGGTGAGCGACCGCGCGCGTTTGGTCCCGCGGCGTTTCTTCGACCGCTCTCGCAGGATTGACTGCTTACGGGGATGAAGAAAACGACCCTTCTCGGCGACTTCACCGGCCGACTCCAGCGGAGATCCTCACTGTAGTAGAACGGGCCACTCGTTCAGCGCGAACATGGCGAGAGCACTGCGAGATGAGTCGTCACTACGTTACGGAAGAGTGAGAGTGTAACGAGGGGGGTATTTGCGACTCTTCGTTAGCAACCCCCAAGCTCGCGCATCGGGGACAGCCGCGCCATTGGCTACGCAGCATCAGGGGGCGGTTCCGCTGCATTAAGAGTCGCGCACACCCCTACGCGAAATGTGCAGCTACGTTGAAAATCCGCTAAATCGTGGTCTGCACATCCTCTTCCTCTCCTTCTCTTCTTTCCTTCTTCCCCTCTCTCCCGTATATTCTATCCTATTTATCTCCGTTGGCCCCCTGACCGCTAACTCTTTTCCGCCCACGTTTTTGCTCTTTCTTCGTTATTCTTCGCCCGCGTTCCGTTCGCGCTTTACCCATTTCTCTCCCCATCGACCCTCTTCCATCGGCATGTATGTATGTATGTGTTTTTTACTTTTCTTTATTTTATTTTCTTTTTCTCCATCTCTTTGCCTTTCTTCTTATTTCTCGTCTTCGTTTCTCGAGACGGAAATAAACTCGATCGCTCGACAAAGCAGTTTCCTTCAACTTCCGAAGCAAAACCTCGAAAATGTATCAAGGACGTTGTCAGGACGCATGGGTGGTGGCATCGATCATCGATAGGCTTTAAACATGACGTAAGTGCTTGCATATACATCGGGTGTAACAAAAGTTTCTCGTTGAAGTGCTTTTTCTCGTCCGCAGATTCTAATCCGGAATTGACTTTCTTTTAGCAAAATGTTTTTCTTATAAACTTAAAAATTCTCTTTCCTTCCAGAATTTGAAAAATGAAATTCGCTTGGACTTAAATCAAGAAATTAATTCCCGAAACTTATTTCTTTACTTTGGAAGCTCAATTGATTAGAAGTACCTTACAAGATCTTTAATCGTTTATTACCTAAAAAATAATTTGAAACGAAATAATTATATTTCTTTAATTCCATTTCCGATATATGCATTTTTAAAAGAAAATGATTTCTCTAATACATACCTAATATTATATAGCATGTAATCTATATAATTCCATTATATAGCATATAATCCCTAAATATTATAACACAAGGACATCCCGTTGCTAAACGGGACATCGTGTTATATAATTCCATGACTCATTTAAGACATTTTGAGGACTATCAAATGAACGCGTTATTATATATATCCTATTCATCTACAGGATATATAAGAATCGGTAATTCTAAAGACGTTCATCCATAATCATTGGAACAATTCTATTACTTTCCATACATTGAAGACATTCTAAAGATATTCAAAGGATGCTCCTATGTCCTTTAAATGTCTTAAGGACGTTCGCAGGATGTATTGTATCTTGGATAAAGCGTGTTGAATTTGCAAGATCAAAATATTTCACAAAATATTATTATATTCATTAGATCTGTTAGTACAAAAAAATACAACTATATCTCTCATTAAATGCATCCGAAAACCATGCACGGTTGCGAAATATATTACCTCGGCCGAGGTAATATATTTCGCAATAAAATTATTTACAGGTTTGATGCATATCAGCATCATATTAATATCTTCTAAGATACCTATAAATATCAATATTATTAAATTGCTTGTCAATTTAATTTATAATATTATTGCTTTAGTTCTGTTAGAATTGCGTTTCGACACTGAAAATTAAATTCGGTGCGCAGTTTGTAGGAATAGATATAATATATAAATCCACACGCTGAAATTATTTATAGCACTAAAGAGCCAGTTTGACCATTAAGGGCTTTTATTTCGGATTTGTATTCACATTATAGTCTTAAAGAATATTGTACTTAATATATTAAATATCTATTAACTTTGAATGTGCATAATTTTTTAAATTTTGAATATCAATAAAAGGTTTTCATCGGACGCGTGCACATTTGTATAGTATATATATATATATATTTACTATATATATATATATACACTGAGAGAAAAATTTACTAGATTTAAGTAAATGTATTAAACTTGAAGTTCACCTACTTGAATCGAGCAATCG